CCAGCCTTGTGCATATGGTCGCCATGTTCGTCATGTATTTTGGGGGCGCGTAAAGGAATTGGGACTAGAAGTCTCGGTGGAGTTCATAATGGTCTCTGCCAATGCTCAAAAGTTCAGTCTTACAAAACTACAGACTACATTTGCACGCGCCACGATGAAATAGTGATGCGAGGTACTTTGCTTCTATTTTCAGCATACACGTAGTATTTGATTCGCACCAATCAAGTAGAGTCTGCCTGATGCATTTCCAGTCAGCATGGTTGATTGTTCGTCCCAGACCATTCAAGTGTTCTGCATCATCTTGGAGGACTGATGATAGGGTAGCTCGATTCTCTGATGTCAACGTTCTCGAGTGATTGGCCGCGCTCAGCCTCACCCGTGCTTGCCTGACCATAAGCACTGCCCCACGATCATCGGATGCACTTGCTAGTGTCACGTAAGGCTACCTCTACCGAAATGATTAAAGGCTCACGCTCTCCCATGTCATACCCAATCCTACTACTATCTCATCCTTTCGTACCTAGCTTCGTATCTGACTGTCCTCTTCTCATTAGGCAAACATCAACATCAATACCATCATCAGACAAACACCATCACTACCATGTCCTCCCTCGCCCCAGCACCCCAACCCATCGGCGTGTTCCCCCAGTTCCTTGCCGCAGGCCCAGAAACACTCGTACTCAAAGAAAAAGTCATCTCGCTCAGCGGCGACAGTTTCAGCATCAAGCTCGCGAATGGCACGCCAGTCCTCCAAGTCGAAGGAAAGGTCATGAGTCTGACTGGTCGTAAAAAGATGTTCGATATGCAAGGAAACCACCTGTGTAGTATCGTGAAGGAGCACTTCCATCTCCATTCCACATATGTAGTGGAGAGTGCGAAAGGGGATAAGATTATGGAGGTCAAGAGTAGTTTTAAACGTAAGTCTTGCCATCTAATCTGGACAGAGCGAGGAAAGAGAGGGAGAAGGATGATAGGAAGGGTATTGGTCATGGAGGTGGACGTAACTGACTGGTGCTAGTACTCGGATCCAAAGCGACAGCGACATTCACTTCCTCGAATGGGAAACAAGAAGTTCTCACCATGCGCGGCAACTTCTTCGATACTCGGGCTGATATTCTAGATGAAGCACAAGGCGGTACGTATCTCCCTTCTCACCCTCTCCTCGCCATTTGAACGACAAAAGTTGTCGTAGTAGGACAGGATGCTGAGTATGATTAGGTCTGATAGTCGCCCGTATCGACCGCAAGATTCTTAGCGGCAAAGACATATTCTTCGGCCAACAAACTTACGGTGTGCAAATAGCACCAGGAGTAGACATGGCTCTCATTGCTGCACTGTGCATCTGTCTTGATGAGAAGAACAACGAGGGCTAGAAGAACTCGCGAAGAAGGAAGAAAGTGCCGCTTGTCATGTCTTTGACGAACAAGGCGACTAAAGGGAGGAGTAAGACATGGATGGATGCAGCGACCAAAGGAAGGAGTGGGAGCTGGTTTGAGAGGGTAGAGGGCGTGGGTATGAGGAGAGGCACTTGGTGAGGAGATTGTTGTGTTGCTTAATTTATATACCCTTGGCGCTGAACGTATCATGACACTCTTCTGTCTGCTTTTTTTTCTCTACCTCCGGCTGGCGTTGATGCGCAGGAACCAGTGCTTAGTTGTTCAAGGACTAGATACAAATCACCAAATAAGGAGGAAAAGTGAAGTATATGATCTTTGTATTAAAGAGCGTCGTTCAATACTCGCTCGTCTCCATCCGGACGTCTATGCACAACACCTATGACCCAACCCAAGAAGAACATGACAAAAGGGAAATCTAGTTGCTGAAAGTACAATAGAAACGTGGCAAGAGGCACGGCCCGCAAGATATATGCTAGTAATGCAGTTTACCATGAAACAAAACGACGGAAGAAGGTAGCGAAATATGGGGAATGAATAAAAAGCTACGCATGGGAGATGACAAGAACGCCTGCTGATGAATGCTATGCTTTACGCCAGAAAACAGCAAACCTGTTCTTCGACAACAAAACTTTTTGACCTCGAAAGTATTATCGCAAGTTCACGTCTGCTTCCATTACTTCTCCCAAGCCTTCCGCGGAGGGGTATATATGCCACCTTGCTGGGTATATGGCTGAGGTGGGAGGAGCTGCTTCAAGGATATGGCGACAAAGTCATCGAAGACCATGTAGCTCAGGAACGGGCTGGATCGTATTATGGTCGGTCCAGCTACTATGTGCAATTACTTCGACCCGGCGAGCAATTCAGATCCTGGTACGTTGTGGCCAAAGTCCAAGATCAAGGTCCTACCATCCTGACTCGTAGCGACAACGCGTCTGTAATCGCTCTTGGCCGAGAGAATCCAGCTCGTGGTCCAATTCTTGTATACAGCGTATGTTTGTCCAGTCTCGTAATCGGAAACTTGTATACTCTGATCGTACGAACCAGAAACGATGCGACCGTTGAAAGCGTCGAGGAAAAGAGATCGTACAAGGCCGTCATGCTTGACCCGGCTGTGGACTAACTCGCCAGTGGAGGCATCGAACTTGTAAACGACGTGGTCGTTACCTCCAGCGAGAACGTACTTGGCATCATCAGAGAATTCAACAGCTGCGAGACCACGATCTTCGGACGGAAAATCTTTGATGGAAACACCCGTTTCAAGATTCCACAACTTGGCTACACCGTCGCCACTAGCAGAAACAAGAAAGTTGCCACGTAGCTGGACGGCATTGACAGGTCCTCGATGACCCTTGAGTGTGCGAACGCAGTTGCCTGTCTTACGGTCCCAGACCTTGATCATGGCGTCCTTGGAGCAGGAAATAATGTACTTGTCATCAAGGCAGACGTCTAGCACACCAGCCTCATGGCCACGGAGCCGGTACATGGGAACGTATTCTTCGCCAGTAATGTCCCAAACGATGCAGGTGTAGTCTGAAGATCCCGTCACCATGATTTCGCTGTCGTACTGTAAACACAAAATAGAGGCATCGTGGTAATCGGCGGGAACAGTGTATATTTCATTGCCAGTCTTGGTGCCATTGAGCGAGGCATGGCTGATGACGCGCTCAGGTCGCTCCTCCATAGGTGGCGGTGTATTGGCGGTTGGACGGTGGTTGGGACCGCCGTATACTCTGATGCACTTGTAGGTTTTTAGATCCCACACACGAATGGTTCGGTCACGCGAGCCGGTAATGGCCTTGTTCTCATCGAATTGGCAGCAGTAGACGCTGTCTGTGTGGCCGTTGAGGTAGATGGCAGCAGGTGTTCCGGCCTTCCATCGGCTGTCGATTGTGCTTCTCGCTCTGAACATCTGTTTCCAGTCTTGGGCAGGCGCTGGGTTGCCACCCGCCATTTTGCCAGTACCCAAGCCGCCCATCTGTATCGGCGCAGGGGAGACGTGCACTTCGGGTTCGTGTTTGCGCAGGAAAACGTTTCGCCATACGTGCGGCGACGATGCGTGTTCGTTCCAGCTGCGAGAGACGCGCTCGGCACGTACAAGGGACGCGGCATCGAGGTTTGAAAGCACAGTGGTAGCAAGCTCGGCAGGCAGACGCTGGAAAGGATCGACTGTAACACGATTAGTGTGGCTCCACTGAGGACTAACAAGCCAACTCACTCATCTTCTTTTCGGTAACACTATCGGCGCGGACAATGGGGGAAGCACATGTCATGTCCACACCGCTCTCGTTATCCTTGATGTCGTCATCACGCATCGAGGTGGTAATGAGGCCATTGAGGAAGCGGTGGGTGTGTTCTTGCTCGCGCCGTATTTGGTTCTGGCGGTCCTGGTTGGCGGCGGCAGCTGCTTGTCGGGCGGCGGCGCCGGGCCCGGATTGGCTGGGGTAGGAGATGGGCGGAGATGAGAAAAGAGCCTTGGTAACGTCTGTGGATGGCCCCGAAGCTGTGGGGCGACGGCGCATGCTACTCAGTCGCTTGAAGGGAGCGAAGGCCTTTGAGCTCGTGCTTTGTGGTTGCAGCTGGAAAGTGGGAATGCCAGAGTCTTGGTGTTGCAGGGGCATCCGTTGTTGTGGTTGCTGTGGTTCCATGGTAGACTTGTGGCTAGCGCTGGCAGAGGGTAGAGACTCGAATAAAGAATGTATGGAACCCCGACGACGCTGTGCGGGTGTTGCTGAAGACACGGACGACATGCGCCGGCGCGTCTTCTGGCGAGTAAAACTACCGGCTACTGCACCAAACGCGCGGGAGAAGGAGCTGGCCTGTGAATGCTGCGAGAGGCCGTCGGCGGCCATGGTGGCTTCATTGACGGCGTCCAACATGTTGGTGTCCTTGATGTCCTGCTGGTAGTGGGTAGGGAATGTCTGCGAGATGGTCCGCTTCATCGTGTGCGGCGGCGGAACGGCGGTGGTGTATGTGGTGTCGTCGTCAACGTCGGAAGAGGTCTTGGGTCGGTGCGACAGGACAGACTGCCTGCGATACATGCTCCCAGGGATGCTGACGGCTAAGCCCTGCGTGTTACAGTGAAGGGCACGGGGGGTCGACTAAGAGAGCGTGTGCGAAGCAAAGGGAAAGTGAAGGGTGGACGGCAGCGGAAAGCAGGTACGGAAAGGTCGAAAAGGCGAGGTTTATAGCATGAGGATTAGTACGTAGGAGAAAGGGAAAACAGAGCTTGTTAACAACGCCAGACGACGTGCCACACACTAGGCCAGGAGACTCAGCCGATCTCAAGCCGGTTCGAGTGCCTCCCGAACGTGGTCTGTTCACCAAAGCAACTCCAGACGGGACCCACCCCTTGCAAATTACGACTTATCTTATCATGCCAGCACTACACACACCGTCGACTTTTTGCTACGTACGAGAGTACCGCTCAACCACTTGCTGCTGCATCCGGCTTCTCCGCTGCCCTGCCACTATACTGTCTCCTGCGTCTCTTGTGCTACACCGCTCCCACGGTACGCCGTAGTCGCTGAGCGGTACACCATCTTGAATCGCGCTGAGCACACAACCCAGACCACGCGAAACGAGCCAAACCAACGCCCAAACACCATGCCATCAACCGCTCCACCCGCGCCAGCAATACCCAGCGTCTATCGCTTCGTCTTTTGCTGGCTCGAGCCCGTCTCCATCCTCACAGGCGCCATCTATGCACACTTCTTCCAGTCCACCTACCTGCACTTGACGCATGCAGCCAGCTCACCGGGCGTCTCGCTTCCCATCTCAACATCCATAGTCATGTCACAGTTAGCGAATTTGTACCTAGGACTTGCTTTTCTGGAAGCCTCGGTCTTGCGCGCCACTCCAGACATCAAAGTCTGGAAGACCTTCTTGGTCGGCTTACTTGTCGCCGACCTAGGACATTTGCTCACTGTCCTGCCCCTCGGAACCCCCATCTACTGGGCCTTTTGGCGGTGGAACGCCATTGATCTGGGGAACGTCCCGTTCGTTTATTTCCTAGCCGTGACGCGCATCTGCATGCTCCTTGGCGTTGGCTTCCAGAAGGAAGGTGTGAGATCAAGATCGAAGATGACATGAAGGTGCATTGACAAATCCCGTCTACCATGATACAAATGAAATCTTACTACATGCATCTGTTTTTTCTGGTAATCGAGTGAATTCGTTGTCATGCTTCGTGGCAAGCCTTCCAGTCATCGTCTCGAACATCGCAATCTCTAATCTCCACAAGTACGCCCATCACAAACAACCCAATTCCTGCCCGACATGGTTCGCCAATCCCAATTCATCCCTAGCTAGGCAGTCCAACCGAGCAAATCGCAGTCCTCTTTACCCCAGACCCACAACATAGACCCTGTCCATCACGTTGCGCATACCCATTCACCCGTCATCTCACCGACCGATGGGGCTCTCACCGCCCCCAAATCTCTTCAAAACCTTCACCACTCGGAACCATTCCGAGCCCCAAGCTGATCGCAACCTTGCAACCAGCAGCCATTGTCCACTGCAAATAGCAGCTTATCCGCGGTACCACCAACATGCATTACTTACGCCCTCTTTAACCACCATGAAAAAAGAAATCCCAAATTCCGCCTCGCAGTCTTTGTCCAACTTGCCCAGTCCAACAAAGCGCCGACACATCTCCATGCCATCCAGAGAATACCCATCGCGTGGCATGCCCGCAAAATGCACGCCATGCAGCATGCCGAGAATAGCAACTGCTCCTGCCTTCGCCACGCCTGCTCAGCCTCTTGCCCTGCATAACCGCCATCGCAAGCCAACACCAGGCAGGGCAATGGAAGCGGGAGTCCCGGAGGCGAGGTGCGCAAACGTCATAACGCCCTAGAATTTTTTTTCCTTTCTTCTTTCCCTTTCGCATCATACTCGGCCTTGTCCGCACATCTTTACCTGCATCATGTTGGGAGAGGCAAAAGAGGAAATAATTGTCGTTGGGAATCCGAATCTCACTCCATCTTTTCGCCGAAACACTAATGTTTAGTACCATGGATACAGGCGCTGCCAGCTGCAAATCCATGACACGCGCCTTGCATCATGTCATGTCAGAATTAAACGTTATTCTTTACGTTGCCGTATCCATGTTGGTACCATGGTTCGCACTGTGGAAAGGGGGTCTTCGCCGACTTGCCCATCTTGGCCTCGTCCGCTGGCCGTCATACATACCGGTGCCAGGTGTTCGGTGGCATCATGTCTAAAGCGAGATGTGCGGAGAAAGGGTGCAATAAGCCCCGCGTCCACGATGCAGACTCGCTCATCGTACCGTGGTACATGTGTATCCAGACGAGTCTCTGACAGCATATTTGTACAAGATCCATGGGAACGGCGCTTCTCTTAGCGTGGTGCATCACGTCACAACTCCCCGCATCGTCGGGAGATGAATAAGGACATCACTTTTGCAGAAAGCCTGGCTTTATATCACGATCAAACAGATAATGTGTATCGCGAAATTGACGACTAAATAGAATTCCAGATACTATTTTCCCTGCACCGCAAAAACCGGAAGTGACAGGAAGACGGGGTATAATATCCACAAACCATGCCAAATACAAGACCAAGTTACAAAATTCTCCTCAAATGCTGTATACACTCCCATTTTTCCCATTGCAGCATAGAAAGCGCCATGGGCCCACATCACCAACTAAGCTTTGCTCATACATATGTGATAGGCCGTAATCAATCCCGAACACCATGCAAGTACAGATAATATAAACCAAAAAAGCGAGTGAAATCGTAGTACATGGCAGGCACATGAACAAAGCCCGAAGGCAAAAGAATAATCGAAAGTAAATGCAAAATGAATGGAACAGGATTGAGAGAGGGCAGCGAGAACAAGGCTCAAAGCAGGGATGGATCGAGTGTCCCGCCCATGCTGTCCATGGTCTTCTCGAGCATATCGAGGTCCATCATAGTTCCAGGGCCATAGTCTGGAAAGAGCATCATGTCTTCGCTATCCATGGGAGGAAGAACAACTCCGAGATTCTGCAAGTCTTCTGAAAGTTGCAGGTCAATCGGAAGAGCGTCGCCCGTCATTGTCATTGCCCATGCGTCAGGCATATCGGCGTCTTTGAGATCGATGTTGATGAATAGGTTATCATTCTCCGAGATGTCGGACTGTCGTGTAGAAGGTGTATCCTTGTTGGATGATTCGGGTGTAGCCGATGGCGAAGCAGGTCGGGAACGGAGTGTCCAGGCGTGGTCTTCATCCTTGAGATCCATCACAGTGAAAGGTCCGTTCGCATCAAGAGCCGCGAAAGTGTCTTCGTACGAGTAGTCAAGAAGCGACATTGGCAACATTGGTTGTTGCGGCTTCTGCTCTTCTTCCTTAGGCACAGGCTCTGGAGCTGTCGCTTGTTGCTCCTTCGGTGCTGATTTGGGAATACTGGCTGGCGTGGGCTTACCGCGAGCACCTGAGCCAGGGGTAGCCACCTTCGTCATTGCCTGAGGTGTCTTGAGCAGGTTTGAAGATGGTGAGTCCTTGACGCCTGTTTGCGTTGGCACACGCGCCATCGCCGTAGCCGTCGCTTGTTGCCCGACTGGAGTGGCAGCACCGTGCGAAGCGCCAGGGGTCTGCCCCGGTTTGACGGGTTGTTGAGGTACTTGTGGAGCAGCTGGTACAGGCTTCGAGGCACGTTTTGCGGCATTCTGATCCACCTTGGCTTCGCCAGTTTTCTGGTCAATATCAAGATAATCGGCCATGGAGTCTAGAGCAAACTGCATCGGATTCTCAACCTTTGCATGTATCTGACTATGCGCTTCTAGTTCAGCTTGGGTGTCAAACCCTCGAACGGAGTACTCGCAACTCGCGTCGTTGCATCGGAAAGTCGGCCGCTGGGGTACGTTGGGCGGTGGTTGTCTCTTGAGCTCAGGTGAGTTACCTGTGCCTGAACCAATCCGAGGAGAAGCTCTGGCACCCGGGGTAGATGTCTCACTACCCGCGAGTTTTGCACGCTTCTTCTCAGGCAACACAAGATTCGTGACTGGCCTCGCGCCCTCGAAGTAGTGTGCTGCTCCGTGACCCGAATCAGCTCCGATGGCAAACGGTGGACGGTCGGTGGTAGGGGCGGAAGGAGCCTTCTGGCTGCGGTTTTGTTGTTCTACGATTTTCAGATTTGCGGCATTAAGTTGAGCGGGCGGGGCATTCGAACCACCCTGAGGTTGCGGCTGCGACGCAGCTGATTGCTGCTTAACCTTTTCCATGATCTTAGCGACAAACTTGAGAGTCGCGCCCATATGGTTCTTAAACTCTTCAATAGTCAGAGTGACTTGAGGGTGGAGCGTTCCGTCAGCTTGGTCGAACTGCTGATATAAAAGTACGCGAGATGCCATGATCTGACGAAGAACTTGCTCAGGCTCAGAGGAGTCGTATGAGGCATGGAAGATACGTAGAGCCTGGTCCACCTGCTTTAACCGATGGAGCTGTTCTTTCAATGATCGCTGCAGAGGTACTCGCATCTGTGGCGGAAGCTGCACAGGCTGTCTGGCGGGAATGTTCTTCTCGACTTCGTCCATCAGCTGCTTGAACTGTCGTGTCCTTGTTGGATCTGCCATTCGTTGCCGTAGTTCTTCGTGGTTGACCAAACCACCTCTTTGTTGCTGCATCTTGTTGTTCGATGGGTCCTGGGCCTTCAGCAACTGGGCCTTATACTGCGTCTGCTGAGCAGGGGTAAGCTTGGACACTTGCTCATGGGTAAGGTTGAATCCGGGCTGAGACTTTGAAGAAGCCATAGCAGCAGCTTGTGGCGTGGCATCATTGCCAGACTCTGTAGAGTCCTCGTTCGGTCGCTTCGTGCCTTTGTTTCCGGCGTTATTGGAAGGTTGCGACTGCATGGGCTGCGATTGTGGTTGCGGTCTGGCTGCTGCTTTTGGCTGAGGTGTTGCCTGTGTTGGGGGTTGCGCCGTCGGTGGGCGGTTGGGCTGATGCTGTTGAATAGGCATGTTGACTGGCGGCTGCGTTTGGTTACGTTGGGCTTGTTGGTTGAGCATTGCAGATTGCGCCTGCTGCTGCCTTTGTTGCTGTAGATTCTTCATCCTCAGTGAGATCATGAAACCTCGTAGTTGTTCGTCTGGTAGATTGGCTTGTGGCGAGCCTGCCATCCTTGCCCGAAACTGTTGCAAGTCCTGTGGGGTGACCTGAAGGGCGGCTATGTTCGGCATGTTCTGTTGCTGCTGGGGTGTCCTAATAGGGCCTTGGTTCGCATTGACTTGCACAGGTGGAGCGAGCCCATGGCCAGGCTGTGGTGTAGGATGGACACCCCCCACACCACCGGATTGTCTTACCATGTCCTGGAAGTGAAGAACTTGTAGCATGAGCAGCTTTTGACTGTCAACACCTGGTACCAGAGCGGGATTCTGGCTGGCCCATAGTTTCAGCTGCTGCCATGTTCTAACATCCTGGGGAAGGCTGTTTCGAATTGAATTGTTCAAAACATTCGGAGGGAACGGTTTTGGGTCAGTAGCATGTATGATACCAGGGTTGGCTCGTAACAAGTTGGAGGCAGCTTGCAAACGCTGTTGCTGAGATGGCATTGGGGGACGCTGTGCCCCCATAGGAGGCTGTGGCCCAGCTCCAGGTTGTGGCTGCCCAAGGTTCATGCCGGGGCGAACCATATTGGGCATGTTAGGACCGCCAAGCATTTGACCCGTCATGCCAGGCGGCAGCTGCTGCTGTTGGTTGAACGGCATATTCGGCTGGCCTGCGTTAGGTTGGCCTGGTGGAAAAGCGCCGTTTTGCATGCCATTACTGCGACGAAGGTTCATCATGTAACTTTGTAGTATCACACGGAACTGGGGCTCCGGAACCTTGAGCAGTTGCTGCTTTACGTTTGGGTCGAGGTCGGCTGGCATCATATTCATGCGAACCTGATCAGTCAGCGGTTGCTGGTTGGCCGCTTGGACGGCAGCAGCTCTTTGTTGGGCTTGACGCATAAGTTCGGACAAGTTGGGATCGGCTTGGCCAGGTTGAGGTGTCATGATAGGAACATGAGCTTGAGGGGGGCGCTGCTGTTGCGGTGTCCCGGGAGGTCCTGATTGTCCTGGTGGAGGCATCGGTCGGTTGAGCATAG